AATCCTTTCGCAGCTTCTGAGCTGTGAATAATCACAATGAGTTCTGAGACCTTTGCTTTACCTTCACTGGGCAAACACTCGAGTCCTAAGCTAGGGACTTTCTTGGATTGTGGTCAGCCAGACACTGCACTTTGGCCTCGTGTTGAGGGTGCTTTCTGCTACTGCCTAATTTCGCCCCTTGCTGAGGTGTTAATGTGGTCTGTCTGCTCCCTGCCTGAGGTGGTCAAGCAAGGGCTCAAGTGCCAGAGACATGCCCCCCGCCCAGGGCATCCAGGCTAGTGTCAGCATTCCTCTGGTCTTGCTGCAAGCCAGCCTGCACCTTTTTGGGAATTTGTTCCCTGCAAAATTCATTTAGAAATTATGGAGGAATGAATCCTAGGTTTGACTGTCCCTGCCTTTGTGAGGTCTGAGAAGAGTGGCTGAGTTAAGAGAACAAGCTCACTCTTGCTTGGGCTCAGCCTCCCTTCTTAGTGGTCCTGGGGGGCAGGCTAGCCCTTTGCAGCTGTTCAAAGCACCATGGGTGGAAGCTTGAGGGGGACTTGCCTGGTCCTTTTAGGGCCTCTAAGGTAGGAAGAACCTCTAGGAATTAGAGGGCACCACATCCAGGTCCTTTGAAAGGCAGAGGTAGAGGTCCCCAGGGGTGACTCCTCCTGCCAAGAAGTATATTCTCCAGAGCCAGCTCCATGGAGTTAATTGATGTTTTTTCTTTCTGGAAACTGGTAATTAGCCTCACTCAGGCACAAATGTATGTATATGCAGGTGCTTCCTTCCTGAGAGCTTCCAGCAAGCCTCGTGCATAATCTAGTCTCTCCCTTTGCTTACCTTTCAGCCGACAGCTCTGACAACTCTGATCTGGAAGATGACATCATCTTATCTCTGAATGAGTGAGGAGCCATCGCCACATGGGAGATTCTTGGCAGGCGAGAAACTGAGTCAAATGAATTCAGAACACCCTCCCTCCCTTCCCTCCCAGGGCTGTGGCTTTTAAGGAACTGCATGGTCTGTACTCAGAGGACTGTGGCTTTGTCTCACTGGGACCTAAAGGCCCTTCCCTAACAACCACCCCAAAAAGACAACAGGGGTTAGGCCCTAGTCTGCTTTCCCTTCTCCTAGGATGGACGTCTTTCCTCAAGGAAAAAAAAAACATGTCTCTGGGGTTATTTCACAATATATTTTCTTTGTATAATGTTCTTTAAAGAACAAGAAATAGTTTTTTATAAAACTTAAAAAGAAAAAAAAAAAAGCCAGGCATTTATAACGGAGGGTATGAACTTATATCCACCAGGTCTCTTGTCCCTGTACTTCATTTTCTATGGAAGAAAATGACATCTAAAGAACAATATAGAGGCATTTTTACATACGTATTTAAATGAAAAGGAAAATCGTGGTTTCTTAAATTGATAAGGATTAAGAATATTTTATTATAAATATAATATATGATTTTTTAACCTGTTCTGTTGCCTCATGTGCTGTCAGGTTAATTTGCTTCCCTTCGTGCTCGGGCTGGGGAGGAGGCCCCGCTTGTTTGCTGAGTAAATGCCGAGACGCACCAGTGTTGTGCGCTGGGGCAGCAAGGTCCTTGTGGATACTGGTTTTGTGGAGTTGAGGGAACTTAGGATATGAGTTCACTCCCTCTATTTTATTTTGTCATTCAGTTTTTCAAAAATCTTTTTTCTTCCCTTTTTCCCCAATGTGGAAATTATAAATCAAAGGCCTTTTTCTTTAATGTAAAGTGTATTTATTTAAAAAAAAATACAAAATAAACTACAAGTCTGTCTGTTTGTTTATGGCCTTTCCCTGTCATCTTTTACCAAAGTGGGGTTTGTCCCTTTCTTTGCAGCTCTAGCCAGGCAGTAGAGAAGACGCCTTCCAAGAGGCAGTCCAGGATGCTGGTGAGGACAGCCTGCCCAGATAAGGCCCTGGCTCAGTCCCCGTGCCCACCAGGGTCTGCAGCTCTGCCCCACGGGGACTGTCTGGTAGAGTCCCACGCAGGGCGCCGTCCACTGTGGACACGGCTCTCTACCCGGTTCTGATCAAGGCAGCTCTGGAGTACAGGTTTGGGGGAGCTGGGAAGTTAGGGGTCCTGGGATGTTTTGGAGGGATGAGCTGGCAAAGCTAAGGAGTGAAAGCGTTGGGGCCATACCTGTGGCTGGGTGGCTGTCAGTGCTGTTCCCTGAAGGCGGTGTGGTGTCCTAGTGGACTTGAGCGGTTCTCCAGTTTGGGCACTTTAGGGGCAGCTGGGGCTGGGTTTGCAGATATTTCACAGGCCCCTAAAATTGGCCTATGGTTAATCTGTGCTGCTGCCAGGGGACAGTCCCAGGTGCTCTTCCCTTTACACCCACCCCGGCCCGCTTTCCTTCCCACAACAAATAGGAGACCCTAGGTCCTTTCCTTTGTGCTGACCCAAATAACAGCCTCTTGGTTTCTATTATGTGGGTGTTACAGAGCCAAAGAGACCTTCTTCCCTTAACTGAGGAAAGGGGATAAATGTGGGTGTGAAGTAAACAAGACAAGGCAGCTAAAACTCACCAGGGGCCGGGAAAGCCCTGCTGGGCTCTGGAGCACCATGCAGTGTCACACACTGACACGGGCCTGCGTCGCACAGGTACCTCTTGGTCCTCTAGAGAGCAGAGGTCTCAGCTCCTAAGTTGTTTCATGCCTCAGCTTAAATAGGTTGCTAACACCTAACCAGGAGAAGCGTGACTGCTGGTGCTGAATGGATTAGAAGAAAACGGGTTAAAAGTCAAGAAATAGTAAAAGCACTAGGTTCTCGTCATTAACTGAGCCACTGTCTCCCTGAACTGCCAGGAGCTTTTGGGAGCACCCAGTCTCTCAGGTGGAGATAGGGACCTCCAACAGGAAAGCAGAATTCTGGTTGCCTTGACAACATGCCTGCAGGGAAGTGCCCAAGTGGCTAAGGAAGTATCAGCCCTCATCACTCTGCCAGGGCTCAAGATCTGAGTCACTTAGGAGGAAACATGGAGAAGAGCAGCAAAACAGCCACAAGGCCGACTTCGCCTTTAAGTGGCACCTCAGACGGGACCCAGAGCCCAGGCACAGGCACCGGACACCTGCGGTTAATCGTCTCTTTGGGGCGGTCACCTGAACCAGGGCCTTGACCACCTGACCTGCTATCAGTAGTCAGTGCTGGCCAGGGCCTTTCTGGGTGTCACAAAACCCATTAATGTCTTAAGAGGCGAAGGAAGGAAGTGGTTGAGAAGAGGATCCAGAAAAGAGGAGGGTCACGTAACAGGTTGTGGCTCCTTGGGGGCCGAGGAGCACTTGTTCCCGCAGGAGGGTGGACAAGGCGAGTGTTGAACACCCTCTCTGGCCAGGTTTTCAGGCTCCTACCTGGGGAAGCTGGGAGGCGAAGGCACCCTGCAGGGCAGCTCTGGCCCATGACCCGGTTCTCTTCCAAGGTCCGCAGGAAGCCCTGCGGGCGCCTCAGTCTCCCTCCCCCCCCCCCCCCCCCCTACACCAGACCAGGCCCACTCCTGCTGCTGGCAGGCTGGCCACCCGGGAACGGTGCAGCGGTGGCCAGCTGTGCCCCACTGACCCGTGCTCAGACACGTGGTACTGGTGGCCACAGCTCAAGTACTAAAGGCAAACACATGACACTTCTTGCCTGTGTTAAGGTTCTTGAGAACATGTGTGTTCTTATGAGCAGCAGCTGAAGCTCAGCAAGTGCTTCCCTCTTTCCTGTCCAAATCTGCAAGCTCTTGAAGAGACCCTTAAACTTCACCGTTCTTGGGGAGAAGCATGTATTCTCCATGCTGCTGCACTGAGCCCCGGCCCTGACCTCACGAATTCTCATGCAGCATCCCAGCTGTTACTTGCACGGCTTTGAGCCAGCTGGGGTAGTGGACCAGGCCTGGAGAGGGAGTCAGGTGGAGCTCCAAGTCACTTGGGAGCTCACTTCTCTCACTAGAGCATCTGAACATCCAAACTGCTACACAAACATTCAATGGTGTTTGGGCTGTGTTCTACGGTGTCAATTGCTGTACGATGCTGGCCATACTACCTTATCAGAGACATGACAATTTAATGCTTCTTCAAGCCGCCCCGCCCCCAGCTCAGCTTAAATGGCTTAGAGCTCTAGCACTGCATGACACCTCAGAGACGGGGACCTTGTTTCCCTATAGAAGCACCATATGCCCAGCTGGCCTAGGAGCGCACACCACCTCACACCTGGGAAACGGGTCAGAGCACCTCCTGACCCGCTGCACGCACTTCCTTGCAGCATCACAAAAAACTCAAAACCAGGGCCGAGGTCTGGGGCTACACTGAGATCCGAGTCCTAGCGAGAGCTGGGCTGGCTTACGCTAGCCACCCCAGCGTCTCGCGTCTCCCACGAAACGCTAGTGACTCGGCTCAGGTCTACTCCACACTGACGCCATCAGTTCCGAACAACCAAAGAAGAGCCGGAAATTCACGAACAGCAGGTAAAATTCAAGAATAAGGACAGCTGCCTCCCACCCTCCATTCCAGCCTTTGGCCTCCAGTGCCCCTGGGAGGCTGAATGAGAGGGGGCCCGTGCAGACTGGTGGCACCCCTGGCATCAACACTGCACTGTTCCTCGTGACCACCAGATGACACGGCTGCTGAAGACCACCTGCCCTCAGAAAGGCCTCAAGGTAGGGCACTGTCCAACAACAGCTACGGCTCCAACTGGTGGACACACACGTTGCTTAGGGTAGGGCGACACAAACTGAAAACCACCACAGCTGCTGGCTGTGGACATGGGGCTCGCCCCTTCTGCATGGGCTCTGCTCAGGCTGGCATGGTAGGGCCCAAAGCCTACCTGCCCTCATCCAAGATTAAAAACAAATGTGAACACTGCCGACGCAGCCCGAAGAGCTGAGGGGCTGAGAGCCACCAATGCAGCAGGACTCTGAGATGTGCCAGTGCCGGAAGGCTTACGTAGGGCCTTTTGCGCATGCAGTGGGGAAAGTCTTCCATCTTTGAGAAAAAACTTGATTAAACCAGGACTCTAAACAGGATTAAAAATCCATCCTCTGACAAAGGCTTTACTGACGAACTTTCCATACAGTTAGTCAAAAAATAAAAAAATACAGAACACAGCAGACAGTATTTCATACACTAGAAATCAACATGACAGGAGTCCCTTCTCATCGCTGTAAAAAATATCCCGAAAACAACATGACAGGAGTCCCTTCTCATCACTGTAAAAAAAAAAAAATCCCAAAAACCTAAGAACTTAGTTTTGGTGGGGGACAGGACTTTGGTCCCCCATCAAATGAACCAAAACAACCCAGCAGAGAATTCAAACCAAGGGGGTAGGATAGAGGCGGTGGACCAGATTTTAAAATAACCGCTTTTGTGACAAACGTGGAGCTGGAGAAGACAGGTCTGGGCTAGGCAGTGTCTCTTACTATAACTATCACCATGTGTTCTTCCTCTAGCTTGCCCAGTGTCCTCAGTGCTGACTGGAGGTACTGCTGTGAAAAGTCGCAGGGTGGGAAGGCATACAGCATGCCCGTGCTGTCTCTGCCTTTGGCCCCACCCACTGGCAGGCTGATCACCCCCGCTGCCTGCTTCTGTTTCAAGTAGGAGACCAGGTTCCTGAGAAGCCGCCTCTGTAGGCCTGGCTCCACTGGGGGCATCCCCTCGGTGCCAGGCCCACTGGGGGTGGCCTGGGTGGCCAGCAGCACTGCATAGCCATTGGGGCTTCCCTGCTTGATGCGCCGCGTGACCTCGTCGAGCTTGGGCTGGTCCAGTCGGAGGCGCTGGGCAATCTTCAGCTGAGTCAACTTACTCCCGGAAGTGTGGTCTTTGAGGAGCCCGCTGATCACCCCCTGGTCCCCCTCTAGGATGTGCATAGATGTCGGGAAGCAGCTGTTTTTCAACACTAGAAGCCCGTTCCAGCCCAGCTGCAGCGTCTGGGCGTACTCTGAAAGGTTCTTGAGCTTTTTGGTCTCGTGTTTTGGCTCCTCGAGAGGCTTGGGCTCAGCCTCAGCGGTCCGATGATTGCGCTCGCCCTCGCGTGTCTTCTTCCCGTGGGAAGGGTCTGGCGCCTCGTGGTGGTGGTGGTGGCTCCGCTCCTCAGCCCCGTGCCTGCTGTTGCTGAGGGAGTTGCTGCTGGACTCCTTGGTCCCTTCGCTGGAGTGATTTTCCTTGCGGCTCCGTTCAGGGGTGCGGTCGGAGCCGCGATCCGCCTGCTGCCCACCACCCTTGGTCCTGCTCCGTTCCTCATAAGGGGAGTGGGTTGTCCGCCCGCGGTCACTGGAAAGGCTCCTCCGCTTCCGCCTCTCCTCCCAGGGCTTGGGCAGGCCCCGGTCCCCATCTCCCCAGCGCTCCCCGCTCCGGCTGCGCACCGAGCGGCTGTAGCCCTCCAGGCTGTTTCGGCGGTCAGAGCTTTTACCGGGGCTGGCCCAGTCCCCTTCCAGAAAGGTCCGGTCTCTGTCCGAGTACAGGAGGTGCGGGGGGGTCCTATCCCGCACCCGCAGGTCGGCATCCAGGTTTCGGTGCCGGGTGTACCCATCAGGGAGAAGCTCGTAATGCACAGGGAGTGGGGAGGGCTGGTACTGCTGGGGGTACCGAGTCTCCTCCGCTTTGGCAAAATCCACGCGCAGCCTTCGGTCTGGACCACCCAAGGGAAAGCCCCTCATTTTAGCGCAGGCGGCCTGGGCTGCGTCCAAGCTCTCGTACTGGATGTAGGCAAAGCTGTCTCCTTTGACGTGATCGATGGTCCTAATGCTCCCAAAGCGGTCAAACTCCCGGGCCAGAGCCGCCAGTGAGGTGTTGGGTCCCAGACCACCCACCCAGAGGCGGGTGGTGGGGTTGGCCTTGCCATAGCCGATCTTAATGGGGTTGCGGCCAATCACCCGACCCGACATGGCCACCTTGGCCCTGTGAGCCATGTCCAGGTTCTGGAACTTGAGGAAGGCATACGCACCGCCCTGACCACGGGCAGGTCTCTTGATGACCACCTCCTCAATGATGCCGTACTTCTCGAAGGCCCGTCGCAGCTCCACCTCTGACACGCTGTGGTCCAGGTTCCCGATGAAGAGGTTGCGCGTGGCCCGCTGGTCATCCTCTGGCATCAGGTCCTCCTCGCACACGGCTGGGTAGCCATAGGGGCGCCCCCGGTCGTCGTACAGCCCATAGTAGTCCAGAGCCCGCTCCCGGGACAGTCCCACGGCGGCGGCGGCGGCAGCATCCAGGGCAAAGGCTGCAGCGGCGTGGCGGGCGCGGGGCTCCCGCAGTGGCGGGGCGGCCACGGGGGAAAGCGAGCGCTGCTTGTACTGGTAGCCGCCATGCAGCGGCAGGTAG